AATTAGAGGCAGGTCCTGTCAGACCAGCCTGGTGGCCTTCTATAACCAGGTCACAAAATCCTTGGACACAGGTGTCACGGTGGACGTAGTCTTTCTGGGCTTTAGGAAGGCCTTCAACACTATCTCTCACCGCATCCTCATTAAAAAATTAAGCAACTGTGGGGTCGATGCTGACACAGATGGGTTGCTAATTGGCTGGAGGGCTGCACCCAGAGAGTGATGGTGGATGGGTTGTTTTTGACCTGGAGGGTTGTGGGCAGTAGGGTCCCCCAGGGTTCGGTCCTCAGGCCTGCACTGTTCAACATCTTCATCAGTGACTTGGATGAGGTGGTGAAAAGCACCTTGTTCAAGTTCTCAGATGACACTAAGATGTGGGGAGAAGTGAGCATGCTAGACCTTCTTGTCAGCACAGAGGCAGAAAAGGAACTTGGAGTCACTATTGATTCCAAGATGAACATGGGCCGCCAATGTGGGAACGCAGTCAGGAAGGTTAACTGCACCTTGTCATGTATCCATAGATGCATCACAAGCAGGTCCAAGGAGGTGATCCTCCCCCTCTATGTGACATTGTTCAGGCCACAGTTGAACTACTGCATCCAGTTCTGGGCACCGCACTTCAGGAGGGATGTGGACAGCATTGAGAGGGTCCAGAGGAGGGCCACTCACATGATCAGGGGGCAACAGGGTAGGCCCTATGAGGAGAGGCTACAGGACCTGAACCTGTTCAGCCTCCACAAGAGAAGGCTGAGAGGGGATCTGGTGGCTGCCTAAAAACTTGCCAAGGGGGACCAGCAGGCAATGGGAGGGTCCCTGCTCCCCCAATCACTACTGGGAGTAACAAGGAATAACGGCCATAAACTGACTGAGAGTAGATTCAGGCTGGACATCAGGAGGCACTAGTTCATGGTCAGGGCGGCTAGGATCGGGAACAAACTTCCAAGAGAAGTGGTGCTCGCTCCTACCCTGGGGGTCTTCAAAAGGAGGCTAGACAATCACCTAGCCGGGGTGTCTGACCCCAGCATCCTTTCCTGCCCGTGGCAGGGGGTTGGGACTTGATGATCTGCTTAGGTTCCTTCCAACCCTACCAACTAGGAAACTATGAAGTGTCATGAAATAAGAGCTAGCTCCACAGTGACTATTTGCCATTTTAGGAGCCTGTGCCTGACATTTAAGGCACTACTCAGATTCTTGGGTGCCATCTAACTTGGTAGATCCTAAATTTCCCCATGTCTAAGTTTCTGCCAGTGTGCACATACAGAACTTCACAGATCCTCATATTTAAGTTTTACCAAAATAAATCCCTTGCAAAGTGCTACAGTTATTCAGATGGGGCTGTTGTTGCCTTGCTGTTCTCATGATATATATAAACCATTCGAACTTTGCTTCCAGGATTAACAGAGATGCTTAAAAACTTTAATGAAAACTCAACTGTATATTGTACAGGTTTGATATGTTATTTTCTGTATAGTGCTATGCATATTTAGCACCCAGATACTCAGTTATGCTGACACACACTGATATGTATGGGGAAGGTGGCGCTCTGAGTACCAAATGAAGTGGAAGACATTTCTTTCATGACAAAAAGCATCTGGAGAAAATTCATACAAATGATATCAACCCATTCCATAGTCCTATTCCATACTTATGTCATAAAGTGACTTCATCTGCAGTGATTTCATGTTGTAGCAATAAATGAAAATAGCTTATACAGATGCCAGAGCAGCTGTCTGTCATGCATTATGTTCAGGTTTAGGATTCAAAAGACTGAGTGTGAAGGAAGTGATGCATGTCCATGGAAAGAAACCAGGAGCATTCATTTTAGTATACCTTCTGTAGATGTGTACTTGCATCTAAAAATATGTCCGTCCTTAGCCGACTCATTTTCCAACCATCATTATGGATCACTTTCCTACTGGCACAAATAGATATAACTGAATGAAGTTATGCTCACTGATAACAGTATTGGATTAAGCTGTAGAGCATTTTTTATTTTTTAGTATTTAGCATACTGAACCTATCCACAGGATGTTTTTTGTGGTTACGTTAAGAGGCATAATGTGCAAAGAATGTGCCAAGAGCAGTTCCTTCTCATCCTTCTCCCTTTAGGCAGCAAGAAGGAGCAGCAGCAGCAGCAGCAATGTATATCATGGAAAGGCATTCTGGGAACTGCAGTTCTCTGTAGTGACAGAGTTTGCAGCTGCTGGAAGGAAACTCACCCCATTTTTTTCTTTTTTCTTTTTTGCTGCCAAGGCCCATGTTGAGAGGACAAAAAATTGCTGATTTTGGTAGCAAAATATAGGGTCATTTCTCCCATTCCCCCAGCAGCAGTGAACTCCACTGCTGCTCTACAAGACTATAATTCCCAGAGTGGCTTGTACTCCATGACACACACCGCCCATGGTATTGCAATGTCTCCATTGCTGGAAAGTGCACATGAAGCAGGTAATGAGAGTGAGGTGGCCCCCCTCACAGAACACTTTCTCACTTGCTCATCTCACTTTATGCTACTGAGGCTAACGGATGATATTTGGCACCCTTCTGCACCTGAGACTGCTGGACTTCTGTTCGCTTTCTTCATGGTGCTTTCCAGTGTCATTCATGAGTTCCCCAGTTTATAAAAGCTATCCCAAATACTTGTTAGGAAGCTTTTTTTTTTTTTTGCTGAGCAGTTAGCGGCTGGCTAATGTTGACATCTACATCTCAGCTCTGCCCCTCTTTATGTAAGTGAATATTTTGTGCCACATAAATCATGATAGAGAAAATGGAGAGAGATGATGTTTCTACCCCAAAGGGGTTCTAAAGAAAGGGAAAAGAAAGAGAAGGGCTAGGAAAGGAGGCTTCTTATGGGGTCACAGAAAAGGAAAGTTTCAGGAGCACTGTTGGTATATACTATATGCAGGGCTGTCCGTAGGTGGGGGCAAATCGGGGTGACTGCACTGGGCCCCGTACTTTGTGGGGCCCCGCGAAGCCAGGTGAAGAGGCCATGGTGACTCCATGCTGCTGCTGGCTTCACAGCTGGCCAGCCAGCCACTCAGCAGCACGCCCCCACCCCGAATCCACTGCTGAATCCAGCATGGCCAGCTGCTTGGCACCCCCTTCCTCCCACAGTCAAATCTGCTGCCGGCTTCCTTGCACCCAGGGGTGGGGCCTCGCACAGGCTGATTTGCCCCAGGCCCCACATCCTACTTGGGTTGTCTCCGACTATATGCTTCATATTGTAGTACAAATACATTAGATTTTAGACATAAGGGTTAAAATTAGACATGATGCTTTATTTTTGCAATATGCTTCTGTATTCAACATGGCTTGCCAATAGCTTCTGCATATAGGCTAAAGGCAGCTTCACACACAGAGTTTCACAGTCGCACCTGTTCAATGACCTAGAATTACACGAAGATAAGGGGTTACTAAAGGACATTGAGCTTACCACAGCTTCCCCAACACGCATGTGCCTTCATCTATCCCATAATAAGTTGAGCCTAACTTAAAAGGTCCTGACATCCTGTGGAAACTTAGACGTAACGGTAAAATTGTGAAACTGCCAATAGTTATAAGACACGCTACAGTTCTTTGTTTAGGTAAGCTATAAAAGACACTCAGACAAAGACTGGGGGTCGACTCTGCTTTGGGTTACTTAACCCCTTTGTCGACCGATTGCGCAATCAATAAACTTATAATGGACCCGGCCTGAGTGTGTGACTCCCTCCTTGAGGTATTTGGAGAAAGCCTCCAGGGGCACGAAACTAGCAATTTGTGCAACAATATCAAATGCTGAAGAGAGAGAGGGACAGACAGACAGACACGATTGCATCTACTAACGAAAATTTATATTAAAATAGATGATTTCTTGTACACTTTTTGGGGAAAAAAACTCAGTAAATACCTGTGGGCATCTGGCAGCACTATAGCAATCTCCACCTGTCGCAAAAGGAACAGCTCTTCCATATATAGTCTGAGCAAAGAGAAGGTCTGTAGCTAGTAAACAAACATGACAATTATTCAGTATTGAAGCAAGTCAGTGTGGCAGCATATGAACTTGAGTCTCTTATCCTGGGGCAAGTATGAGGGAGTAGTGTCAAATCAGATATAGATTCCCTGGAACAATTGTAGGATTAGGAGGGGGAAGACTTCTGGGATGCTGGAGGACTGAGTCACACCTTATAGCAGTAACTGCATAGGTGCTACACACAGCACTGGGAAACATCACACTGCCAAGAAGTTCCTGTTTAAAAGAGGTGTTTTTGCCATGTTTTCACTGTTACCCACCACTTGAACAGCTGTATGCTTGTGTTTTTGCAGTGCTAAAAAAGCATGTGTAGCATTACAAATGTAATGCCTGTCCATTGCCTTAGAGACTAAATGGTTCAAAGGAGGAGAATCTGTCATAGACAACAACCAATCTTCATCCTAGAAACAGTCCATTAATTTTTACAACCTACTTTGTCAAATGCTAAGAATGGACCATTCATAGCATCTGATGAAATAGGTTGCAACCTTGGAAAACTCATGCTTCTTTAGGCCAGCCAATATCTAAGGGCATAGGCACTGACTCTGTGGATGCTCCAGAGCTTAAGCACCCACCAAAAAAAATTAGCAGGCACTCAGTACCCACAGAACCACATTTGCAGATGTTAAAACAACCCAACCCCCCCCCCCAAAACAACAACAAAACAAACAAAAACACACTTTACTGGAAGCAGCAGTATGTTACTTCTACCTGGCTCTGCAGTGTCTATATTGATTGGGCATTTCAGTGGGACTTTTTGGTGCTTTTAGCTAAAGCTGATTCAATCAGCTATAAGATAAAAGCACCGCTGAAGTGACTGAACTTTAGAGATGCTGCAGAGCCGGGTAGAAGAAAAACGCTGCCTCTTCTGGGCATGCGTGGGGCTTAGCACAGGAACATGCTGAATTAAAAGTAAAGTGCTGTGTTTTTTTTTATTTTTTGAGGTCTGCAAGCACCCAGTGGCAAAAAACAAAGTTGGCACTTAGGTATAAGGGGCCACCCTGCCTTACCTTCAATCTGACTTCAGGGTAATGAGGCTAACCACCTCTGTACCAATTTAGAAAAAATTTAAAGCAAGGAGCTTTGACAGGCCCCTCAACAATATTTCTGGATTAAAAAAAAACAAAAACAAAAACAAATTCAAGTGACCTCCAACACAAAACTATTTTCTATGATATTTATGTTCTTGACAAATACAGATACACAACAGCTTCCACTCATTTGAAAATTATGCATGAGTATGTAAGACTCCCATGAAAGTTCAAGGTTTGAACTTCTGAAGCTGTGTATGATATTCTCATTAAAATTTAGAAGGGGGTGGGGGTTGTATATAAATGGCATAATTGGTTCTTAAGTGTGCATTTACAGTAGTTACTACCATTTCAAATTCTGAAAGAGGCTTCTTATATCATTATATTCCTATAATAATACATAAATACTTACTTTTAATTTGCAAAGAGATTATGTCAACTCTTATTTTGCGAAAAACAGTGTAGCCAGCTGCAAGGTAGTCATTTCTGCACTCACAATCCTGCCTTCTGCTGCCATTGAAAGGGCACTCATATGGATTTTGTAACCTAGAAGAGAATATGTTAGTTTGTAGTCTCTATTCTTACTTCTATTCTTACTTCTATTCTTACTCTATTCTAATATGTAGTACCAGGTTGATAAACAATCAAATCATTTTATTTTACAGACAGAATATCATACAACTGCTGAACAGTAAGACTTTCATCTACTTTGGGCCAACTGCAGTCTTAGAATAATCCAATGTCTCTTCTATTGAAATCATAAAATATTGGTATGCTCAGTTACTGCAGGAGCATACAAATTTCTAATGATATTACTATGACTACATTTCCAGGACTGTGTTCTCCCAAAGAAAAAGTCTGCTTTTTATTTTCAAGGAATGGACATAGAATTTAAGGTCAGAAATCCACCACCTTTGAAAATAAGTCTTTTGTACCTGTATGCATATACTTCAGAAAAGTTGTCTGCTTCACCTTTAACCAGTGTTACATATTCTTTGGGATTCTCTGACTGCATGCCCCAACAATATATCTAAAAAAGAAAATACAGCATATTAGCATGCTTTTTTAATATAAAAAATAAATTTTGTTTCACACAAATATCCCATCATATAAATTAGCAGCAATACCTTTATCATTCTTCCTTTTATGTTAAGTAAACATTCACCGTCTTTTTTAATTCTTTTCTTAATTTGGACGTCTTTGCAGCTGACAAGAGTCTCACCTTAAAAATGAGTGAACAAGCCATATCAACATTTTGTTGGCAGAGAGTTGCATTATAGCAATTCCTTGGCAAATCATTGTGTTTCAAAAATAATTACAGGTTTTTGTCTATAAAAACAATGAAAGAGAGCATCTAGCCTCTTACATTCTTTTGCATGACAGATCTTCCTGGATGCTGGTTTTAAACGTGAAAGACACAAGTCACTGGATAATCCATTTTCAGTCATGCATTCTACTCTTCTTTCTTTTATCCCCGCTCCACAAAACACTGAGCACTACACACAGATAACAACCAAAAGTTATTTCATAAGAAAATAATCATTAAAATTAATATCTGTAAATTTGCTCTGATAAATTTTGTGTTTGAGGAAGCCATGATTTTTTAGCTTGCACATTAACACTCACCTTGCTCCATTTCCCCACCTTCCAAGTAGCTGTGTGTGAACATCCTCTGACATCACATTTATAAATGTGATGGGAAGGTACTACTGGGCATTCTCGATATGCTACAGGTCGAAGACCAAAGGCACGATTATTCCGAATAGCATAGATTCCAACACAATATGTGATCCTCTGCTGGTAATCAAGTGCACAGCTGGGCGAACACTGAAATAAGACCCCACAGACAAAAATATATGTATTTTGTGAGAGAATGTTTCTAGCGCTAATGGAAAGTCAAACCTGACCCTCTTTTCTATGGGACTATACAGTGTAGTAGCCCATACTCCCAGATATGCCATCTAACAGAGCCTAGTGGTGATCAAGCAGAGTACAGAACAGAAGCTCAACATTAGCTATGCATACAGGATCTCTGGACCCCTTGTGGAAGTGGGAGCTATGCCACCTCCCATTCCCATACAGCCACTTCCTGACAGCACGGCCCGCACTGGTTCCTACGAGAGAGCATCTGCTGTTACCCTCTCACAGTTCAGGTTTGGAGGGAACCAGGGGAAGAGCACATTAACTTCTGGGCTTTGAATTAAGCTCCAGGAGAAGTTCCTTGCTATTTAAAAAAGGAATTTATTATTTGGTTATTAGATTTTATATGCCACTCTCTCCAGGAAAGGTTCACGCTGTCTTACAATAAAAAAACTAAAATATAAGATAGATAAAATATGAATATAGAAGAGTGCATAAACAACACTGGTGGTAAAGACCAAACCATTGTTCCCTAACTATCAGTCACATTCTTCAGATGGGTAATCAGGGAATTGCCAGTGGCTAAAGGTAAAAATCTGTAAAATGCTTCAGCACTAGCAAAGAAGTAGGAGCAAACTAGAGGGGAGAAAGAAAGAGCTTTCTGTTTATGACATTTCATTCCCATATGTCATGTTACTCATTCACTTTATCTACTTCAGCCTGCTCCAAAGAAGTGCTATATAAAGGTGGTAAAGAACTAGTGGAGTGGACTTGTTAATAGAGGTGCACCAATACATCAGTTGCATATGGGATTAGCACTGATAAAAGGGAAATTTACATTATCACCTATTGGCTTTTTTTTGTTCGGTGTAGCTGACAATATTCACCAATAAATGTAATTAATTATGCCTTCTGGCCAGGGTCCCCAGACACTGCGTGCATGTACATGGCTGTACGTGGCCAGGTAGAGCAGGTCCATGCAGGTAAGTCTGTGGAGGGGCAGAGGCATTGGGGGGCAGGCAGATCGAGGCCCCCATAGTGAGGGAGGGAGTGGGGCAGGGGAAGGAGCTTGGGCTGGGGGCACCGCCCAGCCAGGGTGGTGAATGGGCCCTGGGGCCAGGAGTGGGATGGAGCTGTGGGTGGTTCATCCAGTGGGTATGGGGGTTGGGTCCCTGCCACTGCATGCATCGCCAAGGGGAGGCATGAGGGAGCATATGTTCCCCAGATTTGTGCATGGGGCAGATGTGGGCTGCCTGCTGTGGGCTTGGGGCTCTCCACTCTGATGCATTTCCTTCAGGAGCCTTGCACCAGTTGCGTGCCTGCTGGCTGCCTTCCTGACAGCAGTGGGGGCAGTAAGTTGTGCCCCCCCCTGCCAGGTGCAGGGGCAGATTAATGCATGGGCCTGTGGGGCTCGGACCCAGGTGTCCCTGCCAATCAGAGGCCCCCTGGGGCACCGTGGGCAGCACAGACCAGGCAGGCATCCTGGCCGGGGTACCTGGGGCAGGCAGCACAGTCCTCCTCCCCTCCAGCTGAGCCAGGGCCAGAGGCTAGGGGTGGGCATGGGGCTCCATGTGGGTGGTGGTAGCTTCCCAGGGATGTCTGTTGCCAGGAGGCCCTATGGGAGGCCCCACTTCTACTCTCCATCACCTGTGGGTGGCTTCCGGCACCAGTGCTGCTGGGACAGGATGAGAAGTGAGAGCCCTCCCCTGCTGAGGCCGGCAGAGGGGTGGCACAGAGCCCATGAACCCAGCCCCAGCCTGTCTTGCAGTGCTGGGGGATTGCAGACCCAGCTGTGTGACACCCACTGTGTGAAGAGGCTGGGCTGGGTTGGGGATGCGGCTGCCTTCACCTCAGAAGTGCTTATGCCCCCTGGCTCAACCCAGATGTGCCAAGAAGGCTGGGTGGGCCCAACCACAGCCCCCTGGTGGGCACAGAGGGAACCTGCCCTCTTCTCGTGAGCAGCCTCCAATTTTTCTTTTTGCCCAGGGCCCCACTAAATCTTAATCTCTCACTGGCCAGGCAGGCAGCGGATGTGTGGTTGGCACGGGGCTCTCAGGCCAAAGGCAGCAGAGTGGAGAGCCCTGAGCCCATAGTGGGCAGCCCACATCCACCCTTACTCAGCTCAGCTCTGACTGCTTAAAAGCGTCTCCACACTTAAAAACAGTGATGGCAGCACTTGAACTAAAGCTTGTTTGATGAGCTTTAGTTCAAGCACCTCTGCAGCCATTTTTAATCACCAGGACACTGATCCCCTGGACGAGCCACCCATGGCTCTGTCCTGCTCCACGCCCAGGCCCCAGATACCATTCACCACCCTGGTTGGGCAGCACCCTCAGCCCCAGCCCCTGCTCCACTCCCTCCTTCACTGTGAGGGCCTCGATCTGCCCCCTCCACATCTCTTCCTTCCCTCGTGCCCCTTCTCCTCCACAGACTTACCTGCAGGGAGCTGCTCTCCATGCTGCCCAGCTGCATACCTGTAAATTGGTTATCAGATCGGTATCGACCACTATGGCTGGTTAATAATCAGCTATTAGCATCGGTCAAGAAAATCTTTATTGGTGCACCCCTACTTTGTAACCTCCATTGCTTGCATTCCCACCCCAGGCTTAATCAGTTCCCAGTGGGTACATGTACACATGTGCTTTACTGTGGAGTTGATTAATTAGGTTCAAAGTAAAGTGTCACTAGCTACATAGTTGTTAGGGGCTAGAAGGGACCTTACAGATCATTGGATCCAGCCCTTCTTTGCAGGAAAGACTGCTGGGGTCAGATGACTCCAGCAAGATGGCCGTTAAGAGGCCTTTTGAAGATCACCAGGATGGATGACTGTACCACCTCTGGGGGGGAGCCTGTTCCAAACTCTCAGTACTTGATTTGTAAAGAAGTTTTTCTTTACGTCTAGCCGGAAGCAATCTTTAATCTGCTTGTGCCCATTATTTATTATCCTTCCCTGAGGGGCCTTGGTGAACACATTCTCCCCCAGGCCCTGATGTATGCCTTTGATATACTTATAGGCTGCCATCAAGTCCCCTCTGACTCTTCCCTTCTCCAGGCTGAACAGTCCTGTGTCTTTTAGCTTCTTCTCATATGACCTGGTTTCTAGACCTCTAATCACGTGTGTGGCCCTCCTTTGGACTCTCTCAAGTTTCTCCACATCCTTCCTGAAGTGTGGCACCCAGAACTGGATACAGAACTCCAGCTGCAGTCTTACCAAGGCCAAGTAGAGCGGGAGGACGACATCCTTAGCCTTGCTCGAGGTTCCTTGGTCGTGTTTGATTAGCTCTGCCAGCTACAGCATTGCATTGGTGACTCATGTTCATTTTGTTGTCTATCACGACACCCAGGTCTTATTCAGAAGTGGTGCTAGCAAGCATAGCACTGCCGAGCTTGTAAATGTGTTGTGAATTATTTCTCCCCAGATGGAGCACTTTACATTTCTCCGTATTAAATGACATAGGTTGAGGTTTGCCCCCGTCAAAAGCATGTCCAGGTCGGCCTGTATTGCCAGCCTGTCTTCAAGCATGACCATTCTCCTCCATTGTTTGATGTCATGAGCAAACTTTGCTAGTTCACTTTTAATAACCAAATCTAAATCATTAATGAGCATGTTGAAAAGCACTGGTCGAGGTACTAAATTCTGAGGGATGCCACTGGTCACCCTCCACCATGATGACTCAGTTCTCTTAATCAATACTCTTTGGGTCTTACCATGGACTGTAAAGTAGTTGAGGCTACATTTTTCCAATTTTAACATGAGAACTTCATGGGAGACCAGGTCAAAGACCTTTTTGAAGTCTTTGATATGACTTCAACCTCATTTACCCCATTCAGGTGGTGAGTAACCTGATCATAGAAGGAAATTAGGTTGGTCTGGCATGACCTGCCCATAATGAAGCCATGTTGGCTATCCTTCAGAATACTGCCTTCTGCTAGCCTGTCTGTAATGGATTCTTTGATAATTTTCTCCAGGATTTTACCAGGGATTGAGCTCAAACTGATTGGCCTGTAATTTCCCAGGTTCTCCTTCCTCCCTTTCTTAAAGATAGGCACCACATTAGCCTTCTTCCACTCTTCTGGGACCTCTTGCAAGTGCCACAAGTCTTCCAATAACTTTGCCATTGGTCGTGCAATGACATCAGCCAGTTCTTCTAGCAGCCTCCGGTATAGGTCATCTGGTCCTGCTGACTTGTAGATATTTAGCCTTTGTAGGTGCTCTCCCACAACATCTATGCCAACAATGGCGGGGGGGTGGGGGAGGGAGTCACCCCCACCATGACGATCCTGTATCTTGTCAAGCAGGCTAAAATCCTTGGACTGGTGGAATACCTATGTGAAGTATTCATTCAGGAGTTTGGTTTTGTCCTGAGTGTTGGTTATCAGCTGTCCCATTTCATTCATCAGGGGCCCTATGCTTCCTTTATTTTTTCTCCAAGTTCGTATATATCTAAAGAAGGACTTTTTGTTGTCCTCGATTCTGGTTGCCAATCTGTATTCAGTTTGTGTTTTTGCTGTCCTGATCTGCTCCCTACAGGTGCAGGCTATTGCTGAGTACTTCTCTTTAGTAGTTATTTCTAACTTCCATCCTTTGTAGACTTCCCATTTTAATTTCAGGATGTCCATGACTTCCCTGTTGAGCCAAGGGGGTCTCCCAGCCCTTTTGCTGCCTTTTTTATGAAAAGGAATGGACTTCCTTTGAGCTTTTACGATCACGTTCTTGAGGAATGACCACTCTTCTTGTACCCGCTTCCTCATTGGACAATGCTCCTGCAGGGCCACACCAACCAATCTCCTAAGTTGGCAGAAGTCGGCTTTCCTAAAATCAAGGATTTCTACTTTACTGGCCAATTTCCCTGACTTACAGTGGATAGAGAAAGTAATCATCTCATGGTTACTGTCACCCAGTTTCCCTTTGATCCTGAGGTTGCTCACTAGATCGTCCCCTTTGGCCAGAACGAAGTCTAGGAGTGCCTTGCCCTGGATCGGCCCGTGGACTTCTTGTTAGAGCTCCTCAAGTGAGGAAGCTTTGTGAGTGACTGGATCTAGCTGAGTGCTCATCCCATGTGATGTCTGGATAGTTGAAATCACCTATGACAACCATGCTCCGAGAGCATACAGCCAGTTCTCCAGAGAATTCCTGGTCAAGCTGTTCCTCTTGGTTTGAAGGTCTGTAATGAACTCCTATGGTCAAATCCTCTTCCCCGTATTCTCCCTGTATCTTGACCCAGGGGGTCTCAAGTCGCCCTCCTTTGTTTCTAATCTTCGCTTCCAGGCAGATGTAATGTTCCTTCGCATACAGCGCAACTCCACCGCCCTTCTACCCAACATGATCCCTCCTATAAAGAGTTTATCTCCATATGCCTGTGGTCCAATCATAGGTGCCATCCCACCAGGTCTCTATGATCCCTTCCCAACAGGGTGAAGTCCCAGAGGTGTGTGCCATAGTTGAAGAAGCTAAAGCCCTCAAAGTAGCACCAATGCCAGAGTCTTCTGTTTACTTCTTCTATGCATCTATCCCTCCTGTACCTATGACCCACATCCAGGAGGACTGAGGAGAAAACTACCTGCACTTCTGACCCCTTGACCCCAGCCCCAGAGCCCTGTAGTCTCTCATGATCTGGCTAGGATTGTTCCTGGCCATGTCATTCATGCCCGTGTGGATGAGGAGCATGGGGCAGTGCTTGGAGGGCCAGACAAATTTTGGGAACCTTTCAGCTACATCCCAGATGCAAGCCCGTGGGAGGCAGAAGATGTAACAGATTAGGGGTTTGGGGTGGCAGATCACTCCTCAGGAGGGAGCTGTGCACCACGACCGCCTTGTGTCTCTTCTTTGTGGGAGCTGGCTGCTTTACTTCCTCCACAGCTGGTGCTTCTACCGACAACTCTGCCAGCACTGTGAGAAGTGCATACCTGTTTCTCAGTTCCAGGGGAGAAGTAACCTTGGTGCTGCATGCCTTGGGTCCAGAGATGACCGCCTTGCAGGCAAATCCAGAATGGGATTCTAGGTCGGTCTCCTTGTTGGCCTTCTTTCTGCTAATGGGCTTCTGTGCTCTTGCCTCTATGTTCTTCAGGTGAAGGGCCTGGTAGTGATCATCAATCTCCTGCTTGTGGGCCCTGATGGTGGGCCCTGCCTGGAGCTCCCTCAACTCGCACTCTAGAGACCTCACTAGGGAGCATACCCCACAAACAGGGGTGCCCTTGCTCCCATTCCCAGATGCTGGCAGTGGTACCAGGCAGCACCCATAGCCTGAAGCCATAGGCTCTGTCTGGGTGGAGGCCAGAACTGTGGGCTCCATCTGGGTGGAGGCCTCAGTGATGCGAGGTAGAGAGGGGGATGGAGCATGAGCTGGGGCCAAGACAGGAAGCCATGGGGTAGGACAAGTCCCCACCACTGTATGGTAATAGACTACGCTACTACCCATGAACTGGTCTAGGAACTGGCCTGAGAACTGCCTGCAAACGGCTTACCTTGTTTGCAGTCCCTGTTCATGGCACCCTGGTCGCCTGGGGAAGTCTGGCCCAGGCAGCAATCATTCACCAATCACTCGACAATCAGCAATCACTCCCAGCTTCTCCGAGTACATGCCCCAAACACACATAGCCCACCAAACAAACACTCAGAAAAACCAAAAGGCACAGGTAGCTGGATCACTTACCTTCCCTGGGCAGGATCTGGTGCCTGGCTTCTCTCCTCCTTCCTCCTCTTGCCCCCAGCAACTGCCTGCAAACTGTTACCCTGTTTGCAGTCCCTGTTCACTGGCTCCCTGGTCACCCAGCTAGCACATGAGTGTTGGTATTAGGGTGCAGTAGATTAATTAGCTGCCAATATTATTGGGGACTGTACTAGCTTATGGTGGAGTCATTTACTCCACTGAAATGCACATGTAAACAGTGACAGGGGCTAGCTGGGACACAAAGGTGCTAGCCCTGCCCTTTAGCATCCTTATACCCCAGCCAGCCCCTCTGCCACCACCTGGAGCCTGTGACTGACCATCCGAGCATACTGCCAGCTGTCCCAGGCACATGTATAGACACTGCACCTGGGAGCGGTTGACTGTGGCTGAAACAGCTCTGGAGTTTATCACTGAGCATTAATTTCACATGTAGATGCACCTAGTATAGTACAAGGTGCAGTAGAAGGTTGCTTATTTACTGCTACTTTAGTTCCACCCAGCAGTGCTGTAGCACAGCTCAAACGTCAGTTATCTCCTCAGCAATGTTCCTCCTACTCAAAGCAACTCCCTTATTTTAGCACCATCTCACACTAAAATTAGATATAGTTTCCTACTGAAAATCTAATCCCCATAATCCTTGCAAAGGGTCATGGGACATGACCACTCAGGACTACAATACTAGACTCATAACAAGAACTTATGCCCGAAATGAATGTTCCACTTGGAAAAAATTTGGATAACTCTGGTTTGAACTAAAACACCACCTTTTTACACATAATGTATTCTTTATACTGGTATAATACATTTTGATGAATAAAGCGAGACAAAAATTCTGATAGTGATACAATTCATTTACCTGTGATAACTCTCCGGTAATCACAATATAATTACAGGGAGAAAGCAAACATTTCTTGGCTGATGGAGGCTTTGTGATAGGATCACAGAAACTTTCATTCACTTCAATTTTGTTTTCATCCACACACTTGACCTTCCGACGTGTTTCTTTTTTTCTACATGATGTTGAGCACTGAGTAGGACAAAAACAAATTGTTCATTTGAACTGTTTATAGAACAAATCTATTTATGAAATAAAACCTTGAAACAGAATTTTTTAGTGATGCTTGTTCTGTATGTCAGCATGGAATATGCCCAGACTCCAGACAATTAATTTTGTTTGCAAAGTTCAGATACCAGCACTACACTGAAAAAAGTCAGCTAAAACTTCAAAATGACAAAATGTCAGACCAGAATAATGGGTGACTGAAAATGACTACGTTGTATAAAAGAACAGGAAGCAAAAAGCATTTCAATTAAAATATTTATTTACATACCACATTCACCTTGTCCCCTGAAAATTAGCCATTGAAAACTGGGGTGTATACCTTGAACAAGGAGACTGATTCTGAACAGTTCAATTAAAAGAAAAATCTTGTTTTCATTCTGCCTTCCAAAAACAAGATTTTTTTTTTTTAAATTTGGGAGGCATAAAATTAAATACAGCAACATGGAGTAGATAACTTAGTCTTTAGAAAAAATATATTGAAAACATGAGGTTATAAAGAAATCTTGATGAACTGACTAAATGCTACATTAATAAAAATTGTGTAGAAGTGCACTGCAGACAGAGACAGCCCAATGCACATTGCTGGTCAGAAAAATCCAATCTCAAACACAAAGGTGTAAAGTGTCCCCAGAGTAGAATACATATGGGCAAGCATGTGCAGACCCACCATTTCTACAGGAGATGCAGTATAGTATTCCAGAACTGTGAAAGAATGGGTAGGGCAAGAATTTAAACAATAGAACTTCAAACAAATAGTAACAAACATATGGAATATGTTATCAGGAATAGCCAGTAATACAAAAGCATTTCTGCTTGTAATAGAGAGCTCTGAATACCTAGACAGAAAATAGAAATGTTTGGTGTGAAAGGAAAATCCACATTCACTCTTCAAGTATGTGTATTTCCTGTTAAAAACAATCAGTGTTCTAAGCATTTCTGAACTGTGTATAGAATTTCTACAACTTCTGTCTAGCATATCACATTTATAACCATTTTAGGTAATATACTATAAGGCCATAAGGTGCCAGGGCCGCAGCACACTCAATACTAACCAGTATCAGTACCTGCAATATAATGGAGAGGTAAATTCAAAAGATAAATCAGCCTGTACTGCACTCCAAAGCAACATGTTCCCATAGCTAAACATCCTATAGTACCCAAGGTATTTAGCTGAGGCATCTCCATGTTACACTGAATGGGCTCCAATATCATTGATATTTCTTCATACATGTACCACAGCTGCTCCTGGATGTTTCCTGATTTATCATTACAAATAGGGCCAGAGGATTGGATAGCTCTCACCACTTGAACTCACTGAGTCCACCAAATCAAAGACCTACCTCATTACATTCTCTAATATAGTTAGCAATGTTTTTATGCTGTTACAAGGTCTCCAGGTGGTAGCCATTTGTTAGTGTAAAATTCTGATGAGCAGATTAGTGTGCAGAGTAGCAAGTGTCGTTTGTGTCATTAGGCAAAAAAATCTAGAAAAATAGCCAGTCTTCTGCATACTCTTGTACAATATAGATGTCTGAAGACTGAAATTGGTCAGCTGCCAGAACGCCTTGCCTTCCAAAGAGTCCATGAATTCTGTTATGAGATCCTTTGCAAAGGGTGTAAACAAAACTTACATTTATTAAGAGACCAAAGTCTTTGAACAGTGAAGTTACATGTCAAATATTTTTAGAAGACCTTCACAAGTCTTTGATTGTAAAAGCCAATCATATAGATAGGGGCATACAAACAAGTTCTTTCTGCTCAGATGCACTGTTACAACTGACAGGACTTTTAAACACCCTGCAGGCCATAAACAGACTCAATATTTCTGGGTCCACCTGATTCTCCTAGCTCTTTTGGTACCTCCTCTATTTCTCCTGATAGTATCAGGGATGACATTTTCAATACCAAACACTCACTCATGAGAGGAATCTCTGAATAGGAATGGTGTTTGGGGGAGGTTGGGTAGAGGTAAGGTATTAAGCTAAATGGAATACTCCATTTCTGTAATGTCCTGTATCCACTCTCTGATATTACTCATTTCTGCCTGTCCACAAAAAGGAGCCTGTTTAAAAAAAAAAAATCAGTGGGGAGGATTAGTGTAAATCAGAGCACACATCTTGACCTTCACAACACAGTTGAGGTAGAAGCTGGCTGCTGCTTCTCTCTCACATACTGTCAGAATGACTTCCTAATCTTCTGAAACAAACTGCTGTTGATTACATGCTTTCTTTTTTGGAAATAATAAAGCTGATTGCTCATGATCTCTGAACATCAGGATTGAAAATCTGGCAGAAGGAATTAGGCCAATGATTTTGCCTAGTACCTTTTTTAGGTTTATATGATCTTAGAACTTCTCTAATAATTAATCTCTTGTGTTGCTAAACAGCTTATATCTTTCAAAAAGAAGATCTAGTTTAAGCCTTGTTTCAATTGAAATTGCAGGTAACCTTAAGCAGAAATGGTGACAGAAGATGACACTACTCAGGTTAACTATTTACCATCTAAGAGCAGACTTTCCCACATTTTGACCTTTTATTAAAACCAATTAGCTGATTTGTGCCAGTCCTCCAATTACTCTTGGATTGACCTAGTCAATATCCCATACATGAAGTTGGTAAGGTGTATATTGTAGTTCAATATTTTGATACTAAGAGTAGGTGAAAAAACTACTCTTTGTCTTTTGACAGCCAAACATTTTTCTTCATTGTCATAAGGAATGAGATGGGTCTTACCACTGCTATAACTATTGCTAGCCACAGTTACCACCAGAGGAAAGAGAAATATCCATATGGTTGATATCGGCTTTTTAGAAACAGGTTGAGAAGAAGTGGATCTTCCATACAGATTTGGCAGATGGTAGGTGCCAGAGGGTAACTTTAAAATTACTACTTCCTATTTTCCCCCCACCATCTTGCAAAATTATAGAGAATTTTTGAAGTTATTCCAATATTATCTGACTCTTGTTCAATTAGTTGCTGGTACTTCACTGAAGAAATTAATTCCTTTTCTTTTTCAGAAATAGTACCAGGTATGTGCTAATCTACTGACATTCTTTGTTGGGCATCAACAAGCCCATGGATTGGGATGATCCAGTTGATGTAGTGTATCTGGACTTCACAAAAAGATTTTGACCAATTCCGTCAACAAAGACTCTTAAGGTAATGAGGCTGTCATGGAACTAGCAGAAAGGTCCACTTGTGGATCAGGAACCAGTTAAGGAACAGGAAGCAAAGAGTATGTTTATCTCGGTTCTTACAATGGAGGGAGGTAAGCATCAGGATTCCCTACGTAAGTCTTGCTGGAACATTGATTAGTACAGCCATCGATTAATATATATCAGTACATAAAGGCTTTGATAAAGCATTGACCAGTGTAGGCCTCACTAGAGCCATGACTGATACATGAACTAATACAAGATGCACAGTACTGCTAGGAAAGGAAATCAGGTACCTCAAGCACCAGAGGGTGCAACACTTGTATGATAAAGGAAGAACAGGAATACACAAATCAGGATGCATGACAGCTGCAGGGTGGCCCGAGATGCCAATGGAATAATACACAGCTTTTTCAAATTGAAAAGTCATACTTACATCTTGCCATTTATCTGCCAGCCATTGGTACTGCATGCAGGATGGCAGCCAACAGTGTCTCTTGCTATGAGGCTGTGTATCCTGGCTACACATTGCTTCATTCACTTGACCCCTGCCCTTCAGCCTACAGTAGACCTCCCTTTGTTGAATTCCCTCCCCGCAGGTCACAGAGCACTAAAATAGAGGGGGGGGGGCCAAAATCAAAGACAACATGAAACAAGATACTCATCAAAATGTTATATAATTTTCCATTACTTCATGTCACTGATAAACCAGTGTTTGCATATTACCAGTATTACACATATATAGTTTCTACTGGTTTTGATCACATCATTTACAATGTTTATTTAAACCTTCTTCACTTATGTTTGAAAATGTACTATCAAAATGTAAAATTACAATTAAAATACATCTTAAATAATAAAATAAATAAGTTTTATAAAAGTAAAGACCCTTATTTTCTAAAGACTTATGGTCTTTGGGCAACTTTACAGGTGCTCTGGGGTAGAGGATTTGCTTAGAGCAGTTCTCAGGAGCCGCTCTAATTAAAGTGCCCCCAGTGTCTTGTGTACTCAGCCTCCCACACTTCAAAATGGTGTTGAGAGAGCTTTAAGTAAAGTTCGTTCAATGCGTTTTAGTTAAAGTGCCCCGACACCATTTTGAAGTGTGGGGATGCTGAATACACAAGACTCCGAGGCTGCTAGAGCATACTAATTAGACTCAATTAATTGAGTCTGCTGGAATGCATTGTAATTACAGTGTGTCAGAGCAGGCGTCCTGCATGTCTACCAGCACCCTTTGTGATTCTGTAACTTAAGTCACAATGGGAAGAGTCCCTATTCACACATGCAAAGTTCAACATATGCACAGAACTTTCTAAAGTCAGGCCTACATATACATATACCTTATACATATACATATACATATACCCCAGGGGCTGTCATTCCTAAAGGGAGTAATCCTTCAGGCGCAGAAGGAGACAATCCCATTGCACATGAAAGAGGGCAATGGGGCCAAGAAACCCTCTTGGCTGAACAGGGAAATCCAGGAAAGCCTTGGAGCAAAAAAAGAGGCATACAGGCTGTGGAAGCAGGGTGTAGCTAGCAAGGAGCAGTATACCTCCTTGGCTTTCACTTGTAGGGTGTCAGTTAAAAAGGCCAAAGCTGCAATCGAACTTAGGCTGGCAATGAAAATTAAAGACAACAAAAAGTCCTTCTACAGGTATATAGGGAGCAAAAAGAAGGTGCAGGGTAACATAGGACCCCTACAGGGCAGACTAGAGCAACTGGTGACAGATAGGACAGACAAAGCTGAGCTCTTCAATGAGTTTTTGGCTTCCACATTCCTGAACACAGATTAGGACAAATCTCCCAGTTGTATTATACGTGAACACAGGAGGGAAACCAGGTCACCAACTGTTAATGCCGACTTAGTGAAGGGACACTTGGAGGGGCTGGATGTGTTTAATTCAGCAGGCTCAGATGATCTTCATTCAAGGGTGCTGAAGGAATTGGCTAGTGTCATAGCAGAACCACTGGCATGGTTGTTTGAGCACTCATGGTTCTCAGGTCAGGTCCCAGAGGATTGGAAAAGGGCCAGTGTGGTCCCTATTTTCAAGAAGGGGAGGAAGGAGGATCCGGGTAACTATAGGCTGGTTAACCTCACCTCTTTCCTTGGGAAAACCTTTGAAAAAATTAGTAAGGATCACATTTGTGGGAGTCCAGCAAGAAAAATAATGGTGAAGGGCAACAAGCATGGGTTCTTAACAGGTAAATCCTGCCTGACTAACCTTGTGTCTTTTTATGATCAGGTCACAAAATGCTTAGGCACAGGGAAGGAGGTAGATGTCATCTACCTGGATTTTAAGAAGGTCTTAGATATGGTATCTCATCCTATCCTCATAAATAAACTGAGTGGCTGTGATGTGGATGATTACACAGTCAGGTGGATGGCAAATTAGCTAATGGGATGCACCCAGAGCGTAGTGGTTGATGAGTCGGCATTGACCTGGAAAGATATGGACAGTGGAGTTCCCCAAGGTTCAATCCTTGGGCCAGTGCTGTTCAATGTCTTCACTGGTGACTTGGATGAGGGTGTGGAGAGCACTCTGTCCAAATTCATGGATGACATGAAATTATGGGATAAAGTAAACACACTGATGGGCAGGGAATGAATCCAGGCAGATCTGGGCAGGTTGGAGAAGTGGGCAGAACAGAATAGGATGCAATTCAACAAGGACAAATGCCAAGTGCTGCATCTAGGAAGAAATTACCAACACACTTACAGGCTGGGGGGATGACCTTCTCAGCAGTACTGTAGCAGAAAGGGATCTCAGAGTCATAGTTGACTCTAAAATGAACATGAGTCATCAGTGTGATGAAGTGATCGGTAAAGCTAACCTCACTTTATCTTGCATTAGAAGGTGCATCAGAAACAGGTCAAGGGAGGTGATACTTCCCCTCTATGTGGCACTGCTAAGGCCACAGCTGAAGTACTGCATCCAGTTTTGGGTGCCGTACTTCAAGAAGGATGTGGATAACCTTGAGAAGGTCCAGAGGAGGGCCACTCATATGGTTAGTAGTCTGCAGGTAAGGCCCTACAAGGAGAGATTGAGGAACCTGAATCTCTTCAGCCTCCACAAGGGAAGGCTGAAAGGTGATCTTGTGGCCGCCTACAAATTAATCAGGGGGGAACAGCAAGGGATAGGAGATGCTCTATTTACCAGGGCACCTTTTGGAGTAACTAGGAACAATGGCCACAAACTGACAGAGAGCAGATTCAGGTTAGACATCAGGAAGAACTTCTTTACAGTAAGGGTTGCCAGAATCTGAAATGGGCTTCTAAGGGAGGTGGTGCTCTCCCCTACCTTGAGGGTCTTTAAGAGGAGACTGGACAAGCACCTGGCTGTGGTCATCTGCCCCTAGCGCTCTTTCCTGCCTGGGACAGGGGGTCAGACTCAATGATCTGCTGAGGTCCCTTCTGACCCTAATATGTATGAATATATACATATATAACATCTTTGAAACATCAAATGTCTCCATTTATTTTTTAGAGAATGATGTATAAAACATTTTGAAGTGTAAACATTTATGATTATTCAATATTAGGTCACACTAAAAGTGGAATATAGTGCTATGAAAGGAACAATTGTCAGTATTACTACTTAATTAGAGATACTGCTTGCACCAACTATAAGGTAGAAACTGTCTTATTCCAGCAATGTTACATCCAGATCCTGGGGTGCTTTTATTGAGCTCTTTCACTGAAATGGGATAGCCAACACAGAACATAAACTTTTCTCTTAAAGGGATACACTTAATTTTGCTCAATTCTTTAAAGATTACGGGTATGCTGTTGTCGTTAAATGCATGAACTTTAATTGCAACTCTGCAGAATTATAGAAAACCGGACACTTGGGGTGCCTGGAGATGTGCAGGACATCTGCTCTGACACACTGTAATTACAGCATGTTGGAGCACACTTGATTCATTAAATTTGCTGGAGGGTGCTAATTAGCATGCTCTAGCAGCCTTGGTGTCCCATGTATTTACACATCCCTGCATTTCAAAATGGTGGTGGAAGCACTTTAACTAAAGCTCATCAAACCCCCCACCCAGGAGCACATGTAAAGATGCCCTTGATGCGAATTCCGATGACAATGAAGACTCTTTTTTTTAATTTTGTAATTAAATATACTAACATTTTCTTACATTATGATGCTGTGTGATAAAGTCTAATGTATTCATTTTAAGCTCAAATGCCAGTATCTATTTTATTTCTTTATTTATTTTGTGGATACATAGTACATCAGCTATAGTATATTCCTCCCAAAGAAAATGGGAACACAACACAAAATGATCACCATTTTAAGAAGTTAAAACTAATGGTTATAACATCATGATATCTGAGATGTAGCCATTTACAGACATTATGTTTTTCTAGGCTTAATCCTTACTACAGGCATCACTATATACCTGTGGGCATTTATAGTCCGAAGTAAAATTGGCTCCAGTCCAAATTAACTAATCCTCATTGTATGAGGATTAAAATTAATACAGACTAGGGCAGTCCAAATTAGGCAATTTAAACTATTAATTAAAATGTATAAATGGCATTGCTTTTAGGAAAAACAGTCTTTAGGAACTCAGATAAGCATTCCTTAGGAATAGAGATAAGAATTGCAAACATCAATCCCCTCAAGAGAAACTGAGTTGGGGTTTCTGCAACATAACAGAGGCTATCAGGCACAAAGTAACACCTGGTGATACTAAGCACTTGAGGCTGCATATCACATACTTCAATTATAAACCAAGAACACTTCTGTCCTATAATATAATCCCTTCCACCAAGTTATCAAGTTTCATCTTTAAGCAACCCCAATACTTTGGTTGGAAGACCATCCCAAAACTTCACATCTCCAATGCTTGGAAACTTTTTCCCTTTTGAAAGTTCTTGATCTAATCAAGCATTCTTCTCTTTGTTAACTGTTTGTCTGCTACCTCTGGGAATTTCTCTTTTCTTCAATTTCAAAACCCTCCACACTGTTTCTAATCATTGCTGTGCTTGCTTCTTTCCTCAGACCTAATAAAGAATGCTTTTCATTTGAAAGTGTGTCCAAGTCTATCCCAATGATGCAGTTAGTCCAATTAAAGGCATCACCCAAAACAATCTGTGCCTCTCACGTATTTCCTGGACCATCACAGATACATCACTCCAACATTAGAAACCTCTTTCTAATTATTGATCTAAATTTGTTTGTGACCAAAGGACTTTAAACCTGTCATGAGATGAAAGTGGAAGCAGATCTCCAACAGTCACTTTTCTTAGTTTCCACTTAGTAAATTATGAGGAGCAAAAGAATTTTAAAGATAGGTAAAGGGGGTAGCAGATGGGACAGTACTGCTCATTCTTACTACCATGTGCAGGTAGACAGAACTGGGGGCATTTGCAACCACCTGCATTTATGCCCCCAGGACAGAGACAGGAGACCATGTCTGTGCAGGTACAACTCCAATGAACACTGATATTCATAAAGTTCTGAGGCTGACTGCCTAGTGGGACCCATGCTAAAATAAATATTTAATTACTTTCATTAATGCCATTTTTAAAAATTTAATGTAATCCTAGACTTCAGACATAATTACTAAGAATAAGTACATGTTTCAGATCTACACATATTCTTCTGTTATAACAGGAAATAAAAAACAATTGAAAAGGTTCTACTCATACATTTCACATTGTCATTGTTCCCACACAGTTGTGGTATGTGGCAGAATGGCAGTCACTATAGGTATTCAGTCACATGTCAGTCTAAGTAGCATGTGCATGTTTTCGTTGTTCATTCTCCATATTCGTTCTCTGCTCATTCTCTCTCCCCTCCACACCTTGCTGGGCTTCCCCAGGTTGCATCTGCTCTTTGCTCTCCTTAGCACCCTCTTTGGTGCACTGGACTTGGGCTTCTCTAAGACTGCATATTTTCTCTATCCTGTATCGAGTGGCCAAGGGGAATCATGACCTACTTGGTCAGTTTCCCAGTGGCCCAGGCCAAAACGGTGACTCTGAAAAGCCACAGATAAACCATATTGCTGGGGCCACTTGTGACAATGTCCTATAATGTCTTACAACTCTGTCATTTTCTGGTTCAGGTATATTTCTCCTTTCAACTTGGATAATTCACTTTGCAAAAAAATGTAGACCAGTTTGTGTCATGCTGGGTCATAAAGGGGCCATTTTGCAAGGTGAAAAATGGATGGCTAGCCCTAACTGTGTAACTCCATGAATGGTGTTGGGGGAAGGGGATTCCTTTAACTGGTAATACAGGTGTTTTGTACATGACAAGTGGTTCATGTTCAGGTCCTGGGTAGAAGAAGGACATACACTATGTACTTTCACCTTTGGTTTTAACTTTCTTATAATACAGTTTTATAAATTAACAATAAAGTCTCTCTCTGTCTCTTTTCTTCTCTATTTCTCCCTCTCATGCACACAGGCAGAGGAAAAGATGTTCTTTAACGATTCATCTAACTACTTCCATCCAATCTTTTCCAGACGTCAGCAACCACTAAATCATATGAAGCAATTCTTCTACCTTCCCTGCATCCATATTTCCTTTTAATATACCGACTGGGTATAGTCATAGTTATATACCCAGCAGAGTTCTGAAATGTCCACTTTTTAGAGAGATATAAATAACCCTATGCAATTTGAATAGGAAAGGCACATCCCACAGTCTTTTTATTCATTTTATTTGAAAATCCCAGATGCAAAGTTGAAGGTTTTATTTTCCAGACACTTTTGCAACACAATCATTAACTTTCCGGGGTCTATATGTAAGTATGAGGACAGAAGAGTCTATATAGTAAATTTTGTTTATTTGGAGTATCCATCATCATCCAATGATCATCAGGTAAATTGCAATTAACTTCAGACAACAGCAAAGAGAGAAATTGGTAAAATGAAGTTTGCCCCTTTATAATTCTTTAGAAAATATTTTTGGTTTTAGTATATCAAACCATTAGGATATTACCTTTAATTATGTTCTAATACAAGAAAAGTACTGAAATGAAATTATTTATGGTGCATAATTATATTGTAGTAATGCTGTTATTCAGTTAAACTTATTTTCACCAAGGTGCATGACTAGGGTAGACTTGCCAAAGATGACTCAGACTATTTCAATTTAAGGTGCAAAACAAAACATCTATTAACACCCAAGCAATAAAACGTTTCATAGTGCGTCTAATACTGGAACATATTCCCAAACTTCCATACAATAGCTGTTCCTGGCACTGTAATAATAGCTAATCCCTTACTATCTCTATTTCTTTTAACGATAAATTGCCTCACTAGTGATCTTTTAAACTACTGTATTTTTTCTCACACAACATGCCCTGGAGTAAGATATACATTTTGTTTTTGAAAGGCAGAACAAAGAAAAAAAATCTTCCTTTGTAGTAAGTAATTGTCTATTAGCAGTAAAGGAGCCAAACCTGCTCATTGTTCTGCTCCCTGCAGATCGCATGGAGATTTTACTTCCACTTTTGCCCAGTAAGCAACAGAAACTGCTTTTATCATGTTTCTTTCATATAACTCACACTCAAAATCCCAGTGGCTGGTTTTGGGGAAAAGGTGTGTTGTATGTGAAAAAATACAGATATCACAAATTAGGCTTAGTTCCACTGCAACATCTAGCACTGATTCAATGACTTATTCAGAGCTCCATGCTCTTTCTAGAACAAACTACCATTTTCATCAACTTAAAGAGACTTTGCATTGACAGGTTGATATTGGGGTATTAAAACATCAAACTGAATATATCTTTAGCTTTTACGAAAGAATCCTACATTCTTCTTTCAAATTTAACTAATGGAATTGCTCATGTTACTTGATTAATTATTAGGAGTATGCGAAGCAGGCAGTATTTGATTCAGATTTGGCCCAATTTGGGGGACAGTGATTCAATTTGCTAATTCGGATCACTGTCCCGATTTGATTTGGCTGAATCTGAAGATTCAATTCTGATTCGGCGAATCAGCGATTTGGCCATAGACACAGCTTTATATGTTTTTTCTACGTACCTCAAGGTACCAGAAGCGGCTCATGAATGCTGAGATGGTGAGGCAGATGAAGGGTCCCATGGGAGCCTGGGGGGGCCACCCCCCCATGTTTGGCAGCAGACCTAGAAGTGGACCAGAAGTACTGGAAAAGATGACCTCTACCTCATTTCACTGGGGAGGAAGCTCTTCTTAGCCAGAATGGCTGACCTGCTCTACTGGGCTTTATACTGTATGAGCCCCCAAGGACTGGAATAGGCTTCCTTGGTGCAAGCACCTACTCTGGACTCCTTTAAGAAGCATTTGGACACTTATCTTGCTGGGATCCTTTGACCCTAGCTGACTTTCTGCCCTTGGGGCAGGGGCTGAACTCAATGATCTCCCAAGGTCCCTTCCAGCCCTAATGTCTATGAAATATATTAAATCTACTTCCAGTCCACTTCCAGGTCCGCTGCCGAGCACACAGAGGACCCCTCCGCACCCCCTCAGCTTGGCGATTGGTGCCCCCCCCCGCCTAACCCAGGAGGCACCAGTTGCTGGGCCGGGGGGTGGAGGGGGTGTTCCCTGCACGCTTGGCAGTAGACCTTCTGGGTCTGCCGCCGAGTGCACAGGGGACCCCCCCCCTCCTCTGCGCTCCCATGGGACACTCCATCCACCCCACCATCTCAACATTCACCTGGTATCTTGAGGTATGTAGAAAACACAGATAAAGCTGTGTCTATGGCCAAATCATCGAATCTCTCCGAATCTCTCTGAATCAATTTGGAGGCTTCTGATTTGATTCAGAAAGATTAATGGGTCTCCTGATTCAATTTGGATTCAGAGATTTAGCCACCAAATCAGGCTGAAAGTCCTCTAAATTGAATCAGCGATCAAAGCATCAAACAGCCCTATTAATTATCATCTTAGAATGGGAAATAGGAAACAGAGGGTGGAATGAGTGCCCTCTGTATGGAAGAATTGGAAAAATAAAATATTATAGCAATTTATAAGAAAGAGGAGTTAAAGAATAGGATGGCTACGTACCATACATTACCAGTTTGTGCCACAGACATATGTATGTATAGTCAGGGGCAGTTTCTCTGCTGGGTACAACAGAGAATGGGACTTATCAGGGTACTAGTTATAACTTCCTTTTTCTCCATATAGTGCTGGGCCAGGGACAGAGCAGACTGGTGTACTAACCTGTTTTACCTGGCTATGGGTTTTCAAAAGTAGATTCAGAAGCGGGACTTATAGCTTGTTTTAGGCCCTAACTTCTAATATCTAGCTTAACTAGCATTCACAAAATTCCCACCTAATCTTGTAGGCTCAAACTCTCTTGGTGCTTAGGTTTTCACTGGTAAAGTCCTCCTTTAAGTGTCAGCCACCACTGAACATTCACATAACTGCTTAAGTCCTCTCAGTGCTCATCTGCTTGCTGCTATTTGCATCTAGACACCATTACTCAGCAATGCTAATCAGCTTGCCACGTAAACCCTTACATACTGGTAAAAAATCTTTAAAAGGTATACCACTTTGGTTAAAAATTGCAAGATATAAATGTTTACCTTACATATTTGCTTCATAGATTACAAATTAGGCTACATTTCCTGCAAGAATAGACCACCTTGCAAAAAGAGATCCCCATGACACTATTCAGCAGCAGATGCACATTGCCAAATCAGATTTCACAGACATTTCTGTGATTTAGTTTAAAGATAAAAGCAACATTTTGGAGAGAACCACTTTATAATTAAATAACAGATTTAATTAAGGTGCAGCACATCAAAAGCAACTTCTGCCTGTTAACTGAAGCAGTATGTCATTAACATGGCCTTTTTCTTTTGCTCATAAGAAGAAATGGCATATAATTACAGTGAACTGTACGTACCTCCATCCACCTGTTGGCCTTCCATGCAGGACATCTACCAGTTCTACAAACTTTGTGGGTTCGTGGCTTCCTCAAATGTCTACAGTTTTCTTCCTCTAATTTAACTTGGAAGCTGTTAACACAATGTACATCACGGTACTTCAAACCTTTTCCACAGGAAACAGAACACTGGAAAAAGGGAAATAGACTTGCTTTATTCATTGTTCTTATTAGAATTTTAACTTAACATGAAAAGTAGAAATGCAATAACCAATCACATTATGGTAACACAAATCAATAAGAGCAGTTTTATATTGTATAATAGTATGTACTGAAGATGCTGGAAGTTACTACAAAAGTTCTTTCCTAATGAAAAGCACTAATTGTTGGCCAGGACCTGGATAACCAGTTAAGTGTCTGGTAAATATATGCGATCAGATGCCAGTACATAAAATTGTCAACATTTTGATCTCACAACAATTCTCTTTTCCACTTTAAATAACTATATAGCAGATTATTCTGTATGTAAAATACATGGATTAGACAAATGTGTCAAAATTTATCAAAAAAATACAAAATCCTCAGTTTCCAAGGTTCCCATGACAAAGTGTCAAGCAAACCCAAGAATCTGAAGGGACCTGCCTTAGTTTTGATCTTTTGTGAAACATTAGGAATTATTTATTTAAAAGCAGATATAGAAGTCAGAATACATACATACATGCACACAGATATATGTGTGTGTGTGTATTTACCTTTAGCAGGGCTCCTTTTACCCTACTAGGGAGTGTGCAGAAAAGGGAGCATCTACATGTGTGCTTTACTGCAGTTGACTAATTAGCTCAACAGTAAAGTATCATCGTTTACATGTGCAACACTATTAGGCCGGAGTCAACTAATTAAGTCTACCATAGGACAGTACTACCCAACACACGTACTATCCTATGGCAGAGTTATTTATTTATTGGGGGGTTGTCTTGTATTCAGGGTCATCTTAGATTCAAGTAAATATGGCACTTATCTTGCTCATTCTGTCTCTGGTCCTGCAAAAAACCCTTATGCATGTGCTTAAAATTGTGTACATGTATGTACAAGCACTTGGGCTTAAATGGGACCTCTCATACGGTTTAAGTTAGGCATATATATAAATACCTGCAGGATCAGAACATAAGTTGCATTCATTAAACATAATAAGCTTTCTTATGTCCCCTTATGTCCTATAACTGACTATGTTGACTATATAAAACAAGACCTCTAGCTTGTCTCACAACTAACATACAATTCTAACATGCAGTTACTAAAGTGAATGGGAATACTTATAGATCAAACATTTCCCCTTCAACAACATTTTCGCTTTCAATTTATGGTTTTAGAATATTCCACGTGTAATCTTATAGATATGTTTTTCATTAAAACTGGGATAATCTGAAAAGATGAAATGCTGAAAATGCTTTGTGTGAAACTATTTACTGCATCTAAATGATTTCTTGTTCTTTATCTAAGACTGATGTAGGCCAAAAGACTTGCAGCTTTCTCCATCTATACAATTAAACAGACATTTCAAAGGCTAGCTCTTCTTTCAGAGGATTTAGACATCAAAGCATCTCACAGATAATGTGTATAGTTAAAAACCTAAAATACTAATTCTAATCTAAATAAAGGGTAGTATCCTTTAAGTCTTTACCAGTATGTCATAGAGATGAATGTACGAAGCAGTATGTAAATTCTGAAGTCCCCCCCGCTTTTTTTTATTAATAGATTGTAACTTTAATGCACCACAAGATGACTTAATTTCCCCATGTGAAACACTAGAGAGCTACCACAATCACATGGCGCGATGCCCCTCTTCCCCTAATGGCTTTCATCTGCTAAGTATTAATCTCCAAAACCTACTAGACACAGATCTCCTCATTCTTGTGGGGACTTGTAATCCTGTTTCTTGAATGAACAATGGCCCTGTTATCTAAGCAGTCTCTGCTTACAGAACTTCCTCCAGCAGAACTTCCTCTCTGAACTTCCTCCAGCAAAGAACACTTAGGTAAGTATAGTAGGGATGTGAATGGTTAAATGATTAATTGTTTTACCAATCAGTTCAGTGATAACTGGTTCTAGCTTACCAGTCATCATTTTGCCTGGGGCCCGGAGCAGTCCAGGAGGAAGGGCGGGGGGGACATAGGAAGTCCTGTGATGCCCCAGCAGAAACCATAAGATGGCAGGGCAGGAGGCAGGGAAGGAGAGAGGATGGGGGAGGGGTGACTAATATCTAATAGCTAGGCTATGCACTGGGAGGTGGGGAGAGAGGAGTGAGAAGGTGAGGAGGGAGAGAGGGGGGAGGGGAGGGGTTGCTTGCTCCCTCCCTTACAGTGTGCCGGTGGCTGCAGTGGCCTGGTAAAGCCCTTTACTGGCTGCTGCCTGCCTCTCCCCTCCCACCTCCCTCCTGAACTGCTGCAGCTGGCCCCAGGAAGCCACCGCACATGCTGGTGGCTGCAGCCCTTTGCTGGCTGCTGCTCCCCAGGGCTTCCTGGGCTGTGCAACCTCCTTGGTGGAGCTCCTTTGGCCTCTGGCTCCCCACGCTGCTCAGGGCAGGAGGGTGTAGCCCTCCTCCACAGCAGAGTGGGGCAAAGCAGGCGCCAGCCCAGGGCTCAGCAGCTCCCTCCACCCCAACTTCGCAGAACCATGGGCTGGAGCCTAACACTGCCATGCCTGTTCCCATCCCTGAACCCAACCAATTAATCATTTAACCTGTGGTAACTTCAACAGGTTAAATAAATATTTATTTAATCAGTATTTACATCCCAAAAGCTTACTCTTAAATTTCTTACTGCATTCACACACAAATGCCAATACAACTCTTCTACTGCGTATGTAAATAGTTTGTGTTCTTCTCTATATACAGCAAAAATGTTTAATAAAATTTTGAATACTTATAGAGCCAATTACTGTTCATTAGTGTTAATATAATATGCATTTAAATAGATTTCCCTTATAACAGCCTGATTTTATTAGATAGATAGATAGATAGATAGATAGATAGATAGATAGATAGATAGATACGGCAGAGATTAGGATCAGCCAGGGAGAGGCAGGCACAGCTGGGCAGTTGTAGGATCTCCCGCGGCTCCTCCAACTGTGCCTCTCTCTCCCCAGGTGGGGGGAGCCACTGGAGAAGCCCCCCTGCCTGCAGCAGGGGCTGTGGGGGCTCTGGAGCCTCCTGGCAGAGGCTCCCTATGCAGACCCCGTGCCCTAATTGTCCCCCCCAGCCTCACCCCTGATGACCCCACCGCTCAGTCCCAGCAGTCCGGGAATCAACCCCCCCCACCACACACACACACACACTCACCGGCAGTAGCAGTGGTTGTGTGGGTTCTGGGGCCACATTTCAGAGCCCCCCCACCACCACACAACCTCCGCTCCAATCTCCCCCTCCATCCAACTCTGCCCCTGATAACTGCCCCACATCTGAGGGCTTGTGGCAGAGCCCCACCACACAGTGTAGGTCAGTGGGGGGCAGCAGGGATTGCCCCTCACCTGGCACCCGCATGGCAGCTGCCCCATGCCATGGGTGCAGTGCAGCTCGCAGGGTGCCGTGTGCTGTCTAAGAGCTCCGGCCACTGGGGCTGAGCACTGCTCGGCCACCGGGGCTGAACCACGCCAGCTCTCAGACAGAGAACCTTCAGCCACCCAGCTGTGCCTGCCTGCTCCCGGTCGATCCGAATCTGTGAATCTTTTCTGAATCAATTCAGAGGCTTTGGATTCAATTTGGACCTTTTAATGGGTATCCCAATTCAATTCAGATTTGGAGATTCAGCCGCCAAATCTGGCCAAGTCTCCTCCAAATTGAATCGGTGACCAAAGCTTTGCACAGCCCTAATATATATATAATACACACATACATACATACAAGCAAATGACAGGGGGGTGGGCGGGGAAAGAGCCCCATGTCAACCCCCCCGATGCTCCTCATCTGGGCCCATTCTCTCCCCCTGCCACCCCAATGGGCCTAGGTCTGCTCCTACTCTTCCCTCCACCTCGTTGGGCCCAGGCCCACTCCTCCCCTCCCCCTGCCCCCGCATCAGGCCCAGGCCCGCTTCCACCACCACTTGGGGTCTGGGCCCACTCCACCCACCACCACTACCTCCAAGGAGCAGGGAGGGGGGGTGGTGGTGAGGCCAGTACTACCCCCCACTCCGTCCCCATTGTCATGGCAGCTCTGGCTGCTGGCTTCTGTCCCGAATGCTCTTGGAACAGTCTGATTGGTTATTTCAGACAACCAATCAGAGTGCAAATAAAGTGTTATGGACAGATAGACAGACAGATAGACTTAGGCTTCTATATATATAGAATATATAATGTTTTTAGGAGGGTGAATATATATAGATCCCAGGGTAAAAAAAAAACAACCCACCAAAACATATTGGGGCCTCAGTGATTTTACTGGAATTTAGATCTAACTATTAGGACCAAATCCAAGAAAAGACTTAAGTGTCTAAAATGGAATTTTGGTGGCATTGAGGCAAGTAAGTCCATGTCTGTGACTCTTAAACCTCATTCAGCTATCACCTAACCTTGGTGGTATCTTGGTTCCATAAATGCCACAGAATGTGACCATGAAGTTTTAGTTCCACTTGCGTATTCAAGCCCCCCAAGTTTTGACTGGTCTAAGTAGCCCGGTGCCTACTTCACATCAAAAGCTGATCAGGAGCCAGAAATTTAGTGTTTATCTGCCAGTCTCCCTCTGAAGTTCTCTCAGACCACAACTAACAGGTCATCTTATTAAAGAAAAAAAGTGAGCCCTGCTCAGTATTTTGAAAGAAAAGACAGGCACCTACCTCCAGGAGATGGTCCTAGTTTGTGGATTATGTGAGGCTTCTGGGAGACAGAATTAAAGACCTGCCCCTCTATTCTCAATGCTTTTCTGGTTCTCTGCAGCTGCATGCAGATCATGCTAACTTTAAGCATCTTTAGCATGCTGCCTGTATTGAATCTTCTTCCTAGCTTTCCTCATGCACTTGACAGGGAGCCCAGACACCTCACAAAGGGGACATCTACGTGTGTATTAATGCACTCTTCCTAATGTGCATTAAATTTAGTACCTCCAACATGAGATAATAAATCAATGTGCATTAGTCTGCCCTAGTTCACAGTAGCACCCACACACACTTTTTAGGTGACAATGCGCAGTAGACTATTTT